AACAACAACAACAACAAGTAACATGTCTTAAGATCTGCCTTAACAAAGCCTGTGGGCTTCCTCAACAGAATTCCTCTGAGAGTGAATGATCCTGAGCTACTTGCATGACCTGGAATGTCATTGGGTCTCATCTGTAAGATGAGTTTGCTAAATCTGATCATATCTAAAATTCCTTCCTGATCTTATAAGCTTAAACTTTTGTACAGACAAAGTCTCTCTTTGCTTATGTGATCTTCATGCTCCTGACTTTTCATCCTACCCAGAGACGTTTTCTTATTCTGCATGCCTTAAAATTAGGTAGGCAGGGCTCTTATTTGGGAGAACACTGCATCCTTTCTTGTACCTGTGAAATGAGCACCAGCACACGTTATTCAATAGGCATAGAGTGCCACTAATATTTCCAGGAGCCCTTCGCCTTCTTTTAAGCATTGTTTATCATATGTGCGTAGGTTCCTGGGTTTCACAAATGGTTTGGGCTTAACTACTAACATAAAGGTTGTTGGTTCAAATCCACCTACTGGCCCTGCAGAAGGGCTGGTGATCTGCTTCCATAAAGATTACAGCTAAGAAAACACTATGGGGCAGTTCTACTGTGTAATATATGGGGTCGCTATAAGTCAGAACTGACTCAACAGCAATTGTTGTTTTGGGGGAGGAGTTACCATAAGCGGACAAGCAAATGCTGAGCTTGTTGTACATTTTAAGAGCCTCATCTCTGCAGTGACCTAGAATGTCACCCCAAAAAACAATCTGAAGAACCTGTTTCCCAGCCCTGTTTTTGCTCAGCTTCCCTGACCAGGGACTTTTGGTAAATCTAACAGAATAGTTATTGCACCTAAGTGATGAGCAGGAAATAGTCTATTTACTTAAAAACTCAGGAGACAGAAAAAAAAAAAATCTCTCCCTACAGAGTCTAGAAATCTGGATTAAAGAACATAAGGGATGTGACTGGGGAAAATGCAAACTAGTGCATCTGGGAGACAAAGGAAACTCAGAAACCCAGATATTTAGTGAGAAGGAGAAACCAGGACAACAGCCAGGCAGATCTAGAGGGAGAGAGGGAAGTCTTTTAGATGGAAGTTGGCAGACTGCAAGAGCAACAAAAAGGGAAAAAGGCCAAAAGAGAGTTTGGAGCTCTGTCTCTATACATTTCTTTACATCTCCCAGACTACTGAGCCCTGGTCTGCTCAGTCCTAGGTACCCCTGGCTCAGAAAGAACACATTTTAGAGTTGATATACGTATACAGAAGAGCTCTGGTAGTGTAGTGCCTAAGGCATTTGACTGCTAACCAGAAGGCTGGTGGTTCAAACCCACCTGCCACTCCTTGGAAGGAAGGTTGGGCAATCTACTTCCATAGTGATACCGCCTCGGCAACCCAAGGAAGGGTCGCTATGAGTCGGGTCTGACTCGACCGCACATAACAACAACAACAACATATATAGATACACATACATAGAAATAACACAGGCATGGTACTATTAATAGGGGACTGGATAAGGGAACTGAAAACCAGGTTTCCAGTTCAACTCGGGCTTTGAAGTTATGTGACCTTGGGCAAGTCTCTTCTCCTAGGCTTCAGCTTTTGCCCTTTAAACAATAATACTCATAGCTAATACTTAGGGCATATTTAATCTTTGCCAGGGTTCCTTTATGAGTCCCTTCATGAATTTCCTCTCATTTATTCCTGCCAACACCCCTACTATTGCCTTCATTTTAAACAAGAGAAATCCAGAGATTAAGAAACTTTCCAAAGCAAGATTGTAGTCACTTGGCCACAGCCAGCTACCCAGAGGGAGCGAGTAGTTGGACCTGTGGGCTCGGGACCATACTTTTGGGGACATCGAGTTCAATTTGGCATAACATACTACCCAAAACATTGTTCCACATCCTCCTTCGGCAAGTAGCGACTGGGATCTTAAAAGCTTGCAAGCAGCCATCTAGATGCAATGATGGGTCTCTCCTTGTTCAGAGCAAAGAAGAATGAAGAAAACCAAAGACTCATGGAAACAATTAGTCCAAGTGATTGGTACACCATGCAA